TTGAGTTGATTCTCTTGCTTTGTTCCTGTATATATTGTCATTTGTTGATATTGTGATGCACGAGGTTTCTGCCGTGCGGTTGTTGATATTGTGATGCACGAGGTTTTTGCCGTGCGGTTGTTGATATTATGATGCACGAGGTTTCTGCCGTGCGTTTGTTGATATTGTGATGCACGAGGTTTCTTCCGTGCGGTTGTTGGTACAGTGATGCACGAGGTTTCTGCCGTGCGGTTGTTGTTGAATGGTTGCACGAGGTCTTTGCCGTGCTATTGTTGTTATTGATGTTTTGCACATACGGCGTAATAAGGAGGGATATGTTATATGCTTACATGTGGGTTGCGCATGTGGCGGAATAAGGTGGGAACATTGTGATGCACGTGTGGCGAAATAAGGCGGTGCTTATTATGTTATTAATTGCACACGTGGCGAAATAAGGTGGGCTATGTCAGGGGATGATTGTAGAGAATTGTGACGGCCTGGGGAGGCATTCCTATTTGTTCCGGTATGAGCTTTATCTCTTGGAAGTTGTGAGGAAACATCGCACGTGCGGTCCGTTCTCCTTTTCATGTTTACTAGCTGGTAGAATTTTGTTAGAAATATTTGCACAAGCATACACGTAGCTTAACACCCCTATTAGAGGTGAATTCCTCCTGATTTGACTAAGTGTGGAGGTACGCCCTCGTTTATCCATTATATTTGTGAGAGTGGCCCTAGTTAGCGAGTTAGTTGTCGGTATGACCATGAGATTGATGGGGCATAGGATGCCAATTGTTAGAATTCAGATGCTGGGCCTTTGCGAGTTGTGGTTTGTCCGAGACTTGGTGAAATTGTGGAAAGAGTTGGATAAGACCTTTGCGAACATCATTGTAGGATATGAGTTATTGACTTGTTTTCCCATTGCTGTGTTGTGACCTTAGGATTTGGATTGTGATTCTGCCGTCATTTCCTATCCTCATTTATTATATTCTCGTTGTTACTTGTTGTATTTTTCCCTTATTATGAATTGTAGCATTCTTGGTCATTCATGCAGTCTTTACATATTTATATGTCATTTCCATTATTCCTATGATTATACTGTTTATTGACCGGTAGGTGCCTTGACTGTTCCTCGTCACTACTCCACCGAGGTTAGTCTTGATACTTACTGGGCACCACCGTGGTGTGCTCATGCTACTCTTCTGCACATTTTTGTTGTGCAGATATAGGTACTCCCACTCAGTTTTGTCAGCCTTGAAAGGAGGCGTATCGGTAGAGACTTCGAGGTATATCTGCTACGTTCGCAGACAGAGGAGTCCCTTTCCAGCTTTCTGTAATAAGTATAGCTATTTCAGTATTTCTCCTTTGTATAGATATTCTTGAGTCAGAGCCTCTTATGTATCCCTTAGCTTGTGATTTGTGAGTTTCCGGGTTTTGGGAATTGTTTTAGACTTGTGATGTTGAGTTGTACTTGCCATGCGGCATTTAGTACAGTTTCCTTTAGATATTTGATTTGATTTTCTCTATTTTTCCGCAATTATTATATTTTCGCAAATGTTACGCTTACCTGGTCATGGGGACCAGGTGCCGTCATGACATGTTCACGGTTGGTGAACTAGGGTCCTGACATTATAATTAAAAAAAAAAAATCAGTACGTCATGATATTTTCTCTATCAAACTTCTGAATCATCACTTGATCATTTTCTATTAGTGCAACTACTATAATATAGAAACCCACATCTTAACAAAAGAATCAACTTTAAACTCTGCATGCAGGAAATGATTAGCATACTTTTAGTCAAGACTGTCAAATTATAGGTGAATATCGGGGCTTTTGCATCTATATTCGGTTTTGGGATCACAATTACACTTATACTGTCTTTGTAAAAATATCTGCAAGCCTACCCACTTTACGATCAACTTCAGACTTATCGGTCTGAAGTTAAAAAAAATAGTCTAAAGTGAAAAAAATTGCACTTCAGATACACTTAAGGCCAAATAGGTCTAAAGTGCAACCAATGGTTTCATGCACTTAAGGCCAATAAAGTGAAAAATTGCATTTCAGATGCACTTAAGGCCAAAAGGTCTGAAGTGTAATAAACGTTTTCCTAAACTTAAGGCCAATAAGTCTCAAGTGAAAAATTGAACTTCAGATGCACTTAAGGCCAAAAAGTCTTAAGTGCAACCAATGTTTTCATGCACTTAAGCCAATAGTCCTGAAGTGCAAATTGCCCAGATATAGAAATTTGTTCTTCGAATTTAAACAATTCAATATATGATTTAATGTTAAATCTAATCCAAATGAGCTCAAATTTACGACATAACATCCAAATATCATCAAGAACAAACCACAATCATCTATTTGTCGAAAAAAACAATAAATCTAACGAACCCATTTTGCAATTACGAAAAAGAAAGAGAAGAAATTCTAAGCAATAGTAAAAAATAAAGCATCCTAACAACTCACCACTGTAAAACATCATATACTACCTTAAAATATGTTCACAAACACCATATAAAATCATTGTAACCCAAAGAAGAAGAAAAAGAAGAAGAAGAAGAAGAAGAAGAAAAGGAAGAAGAAGAAGAAGAGGAAGAAGAGGAGGAAGAGGAAGAAGAAGAAGATGAAGAGGAAGAAGAAGAAGAAGAAGAAGAAGAAGAAGAAGAAGAAGGAGGAGGAGGAGGAGGAGGAGAAAGGGGGCTGAAGTTGTTTAAAGAATGGGTACAAGTTAAAACTTTTAAAAAAAAATGGGTATAGGTTAAATGGGGGCGACCAAATAGGACGCCCCGTGTAATTTTTACAGTTCTAATATAGTCGTTTACATACCTTTTAATTGAAAAATAGCTACAGATTCAAAAGTTATTAAAAAAAAGTCGATGTTAAAAATTCATATCAGTGTTATGGATTTCGAAGAAAAAAATCAAATTTCATGACAGTGTTATGGATTTCGTCATATTGTCATGGAGTTTTACTTTTTTACTCCCTCTGGTCCAAAATAAGTGATTTTTTGGATGTTTTCACACAGATTAAGAAATCCATCTTTTAGCATTAATTAGTAATAGAATTGACCATATTAACCTTTGCTATATCACATAAACACTCCTAGCACATATTCCAACACTATTTACTCCAAGGACAATGTAGGAAAAAAATAATTAATTCATTCTTGAAATCTGGAAAAATCACTTATTTTAGACCACAAAAAAAAGGTTAAAAAATCACTTATTTTGGACCGGAGGGAGTAGAATTTAAAATCCAAGACACAATCATGTATTTCGAAAATCATGACAATATCTTGAATTTTTCACATGTTTAAGTTCGAAATTTGTGACACCATCATTGGTGTTTTCGCATTAAAAATGACTATTTTCCAACGAAATTTCAGACACCGGCTATTTTTCAAAAATTTGTCCAAAAAGTGGGTAGCTCATACAATTTTTACTTCTCTTAAGTCCCTTTTGTGTAATTCTAATAATCAATCTTATCTTGAACTTCTAAAATGATAATAATTTGAGATAATTATTTTTAGTAACCACGATTAATAATATTAGACAGGGTGAGTGTTCGACCAAAAAGATTTAGACTTTTTATTGAACTAATTAAATAAGAAGATTTGAGGTAAATCCTAGCTAAAGATAATTTACCCTAGATCTAAGATAAAAGACAAGAATAAGCAGACATAAGATTTAACTATAACATTGATTGAATCCCATTATATAAGAAGAGGATGGTGATTTTCATAATATTGAACAATAGTGAAGAATACATAGATAAAAAGGGTCACCGATCTTTAACAAGGTTGAACCTCACACATTTGATAGTGATGAGACTAACGATATATATCGAGGATCTGAGCTTCCTTGCTTCTTTCTCCTTCGCGGGGAGAGAGTGATGAAGACCCCTCTTCATATGTCTGTGTGTGGATTTGTTTCAGTCCCCTTTTTCTTCTTTTTCTCACTTAGTTTATATACTAGGTATTCTCATTTACCAAACGGTCATTAACTATAGTAGTTAAGTCGTTTGACTATATTACTGGTTGATCCTCTGAAATGCCGTAACATTCAATTCGCCGTTCAAGCATTTTGAATATACGACCTCGGTCGTGGCCGAGGTGCGTGTCGTTATAGCGTTGTATGGATACGGCTTTGGCCCAAGTAACTTTTTGCCGTTACTTTTCACGCGAATTCTCGTCTTGTCAGATTTTGCCCCGGCCCATACAGTGAGTAATTTTCTTTTTCTATTATTGTGCAGTCTTTGAATTGGTGTATTTGATAGGTAAAGATTTGCATGGTGGAAGAAACATGGCTTTCACTGTTCAAGGAAGGTCGCAAGTTTCAACAACAAAAAGATTTAATGGTACTTGTTTCTATTTCCAACATTCTGTCTCAACATCTCTGCTCATTTTCCTTTTCAAGAAAATAGAGATTCAGTCTTTTGAAATCTACTTTTGTTGCTCCTGCGGTTTTGGCTTCCTTCTCAAATTATTTTCTCACTCAAAAACTATTTTAGTTATGATTTTCTTTTGTTTTTGTTTGTTTCTTTATGGATAATTTCTAGTTTCTCCGAAGGGGAAAAGGGAAAACATCTAGGGTGAAAACATCTGGAGTGAGATGTCAAGCTAGCGTTTGGACATACATTTAGTTGAAACTTGAAAAAATAATTTTTGAAGTAGTTTTGAAAAATAACTTTTAAAAGGTAAAATTATGTTTGGACATGTATTTTATTTGAAATTTTTTTGAAGTTTTGTGAGTGGGAGAACAAGTTTCACCCAAAATCTACCCTAAACTAGATTTTGGGAACTTGAAAAATAATTTTAAAATTTTTTCAAAAATAGATCATTAATCTAGGAACAAACAATGTTTTCAAAAAAGATTTGAAAAAACGGTGCCAAAATGTATGACCAAATGGGGCCCAAAAGAGTGTTAATTTAGTTAGGCCATATACCTGAACGGCCCCTTAAAGTTGGCTCCAGTTTCTATTTTGACACCTCAACTAAGCTTAATACCTGTTGAACACTTCAACTTCAATAAAAGTATACCTATTAAATACAAATTTAATAATTCTACATCATGTTTGGAGCGTGAATATCACTTGCTATCTACTTGGCAAACAAGACCAATGGGAAAATGACATGCCAGCAAGACAAAAAAAATCAAATTTGAAGAGAGAAAAAAAGAAAAGAAAAAGGTCCTCCACAACTCCTTTGCTGCACCCCCTAACCTACCATCGTCCCTAACTCCTCACTTCCGAGATTCCCTCAGTTCCTCGCTGAACCCCTTCTTCGTCTTTTTCTAAATAACAAGTAGAAGCACACACAATCACTAATCTGAGCAAACAACAACCAATTGAAATAAACATATTCATAAATTCAAACATAAACCGGTGATTACATTCAAAAAATAGGTACGAAATCAAGGAGGCCACGTCGTCTTTCTTGCAATGAAGGCACCGAAAAATCTGAACCAAAACCCAATTCGAACCATCTTAAAATGCACTCAAACGTTAATTCAGATTTTAAAAAATGTTTCCAACATGAATTTATAAAACCCAGTTGATTTCTAGTCAAAGTTTTCAAATCCTTTTCTATTTTAATTCAAGCTCGAAGCTCCTTTAATGGTGGTCAAAATTTTCGCCTCAAATTTAATTCTCATGCAGCAAATGGTTTCAGCCAACAAATTCCAACTCAAATCAAATTAGAACTCCAAATCTATTCCCAAATCTCAAAAAACGAGATAGACAGTAATAGTCTATGGTTGACCCCACGAAGTAAGAGTTCAAAACGGTGATTAAACTTAGATTGGAATATTACCAGAGTGAAGTAAGATTCTCAACAACAGAGAGGCTTTTGAGTTTAGGTGGTTGGCGCGCAGTGATGGACCGGTGGGGATGGTTTGGTGTCAAAGGCCGCGGTTATGGTGGAGTCCTGCTAGAGATGATGGTGGCAAAAAAAATAAGATTAAGGAGAGAAGAGAAAAAATTATAATTAAGGAGTATTTCCTTTGCTTTTTCGTTCCACGCTCTTTTGAGAGCGTTAAATTACAGACACTATGTCATGTCAGCAGATGCGCTCAATAAGAGGGTGTTTGGATTGGCTTATAAAAAGTAATTTTTAAGATAAAAGCTAAAATTTATAAGTTGGTAATACGGCTAACATCCAACTTTTGGCTTTTGCTTATTTTTGCACTTTTTATGCTTAAAAGTAAGTGTTTTTAAACACTTTTTATCATTGTCAAACACCACACAAACCAAAAAAATGCTTAAAAGCCTATAAGCACCTAAAATAAGCCAATACAAACACCCTCAAGGTATATTTTTATTGAAGTTGAAGTGTTCAATAGGTATTGAGCTTAATTAAGGTAAAAAAATAGAAATTGGAGCCAACTTTAATGGGCCGCTTAGGTATTTGGCCTTTTAGTTATTTTCGGAATTGATTATTCTATAATTATATCATCCTACAATGACAAAAACAAATATATATATTGAAGGGTTAATTAAGGTCAACTTTTCTTCCCTCTTGTATTAGCATCGGTATAACCCTCATCAGATTTAGTAACTTTAAAAACTATCTTAAGTTACAATAAGACAGAATTTCCAGGTGGGATCGAGGTCATTGCAAGTATAAGTACTTTGAAGGGTTTAAAAAGAATATAATTTTTGAAGTACTCTGAATGTCACGTGGTTGTGACATATATCTCCGTACGAAAAGACTCTATTATTTAAAATCATATGATTTAAAAGAATTCATTTCCAAGCAGATGAGTTGCTCTTGGTCCAATCGTGATACATAGTTAGACTGAGTCCGAAACCAAAATAATGACTTTTGGGACTCAAAATACGTTTATACAGTTTAAAAAAAAAAAGTTATCTTTCTAACTAAAACGTTGTATTATATTGTGTTTTACTTTAACGGAAATTTAGCCGTTAAAGTAAAACGCGATATTATACTGCGTTTTGCTTCTTTGTTGGGCCCACCAATAAGTGTTCTGCACTGACATAACATTCAAATGCATAAAACGCAGTATAATACTGCGTTTTAGGGAAGCGCAGTATTATACTGCGTTTTGCTTCTTTGTTGGGCCCACCAATAAGTGTTTTGCGAATAACTGACATAACAATATTCAAATGCATAAAGCGCAGTATTATACTGCGTTTTACATAAAAAAATTCTGCACCCCGAGCTAGGACTTGCCTTATTTAAAGGCGTTAGGATTTTATGAAAATCCATTCAAAACTTTCCTTCAAACTTCCGTTCATTGTTTTCTTCTTGTTATCAAGCATTATTTTATAATGCCTAAAGAGCCAAAAATAAAGATTTTATTATATTGAGGGGTGAGATTGTAATGGAGAATAACTCTGTGAGGTATAGTTCACCTCCAAGTGTTAACCTTAAAGTAACATTGTTATGTAAGAAAATGAGTGTGAGGAAACGTTTGGTGAACCTTAAAGTAACCGGTAGATTTCCGTATTCTGTGACTCTGCAGTGGTTTGCTTATTATTTTGAGTTTAACATCGAAGATGATGGAACTCTTAGAGATTTTTTGCGGATTCCGGATGAATACAGAGAATTTATTGTAATAAAATTGTTGGAAATGTACGTCAAGGTTGAAGACGTTCCCAATAATAACGTTGTGCATAGTAGGGATAACCCTTTGTCATCGGGTGGTTATTCTGGAGCAGTTTTTGCCGGACAGATTCCTGATGAAAGAGCTTGCCTTGATTTAAACTTATCACTCCCGGCGAATGAGCATCGAGGAAATAATTTTTCGACTTTATATAATCCTCAAGACGACTCGTAAACTTCAATTTTTCTATGCTTTAGCGATGTTTATTTTATGTTTGAATTGGATTTGTATTAACACTCATATTTTTCATAGGGGGTACCGCCCGTATATGAATTTTACAAGTTATGACCTCGCTCCTAGTTGGAATATGCGTAGTTCTGGCATGTAGGACTACGGTGGTCCACCCGGAAGTCATCACCATCAAGAAAATGTCCATCATGGAACGTCAACACAGTACGACTTGTAAGTGAAGTGATATAGCTATATGTCAAGTATTTATCAAGTTGAGTAGCTTATCATTTTGTTCTTTTTGTGCAGTGAAAACGAGCAACTTGATGTTTCTGACCTCACACAGTTGCCCATAGACGACGTATTCACTCGTGATTTGGCAGATGCGCAGAGTCGGGAAGATGATAGTGATTATGACAACAATGCCGATGAGTATGGAGATGACACACCCTTCCCTGATGAGGGTGATGATGAGGAGGAAGTGAATGTCGAACCTGAGTTGACGAGGGAGCATGCTCCTCCACCTCCCGTTAGACCAAGAGTGTACGAGTCCCACGTGCCATTTCATGAGCGGAATATATCCCTACCTTGATAATTTGCCAAGTATGCCGGATGTGGATGCCCTCAGAAGGGATGCTGACGAATTTCGGTCAGCAATGTGGGATGAGTCTAGACCACGGTGCTGGCAAAGGACATGTATTTTCCCGATAAAGCTCGCCTAATCAGGGCTGTAAAAATCTACAGCGTAAGAGAGTGCCGTGAGATGATGGTAAGGGAGTCAACTACGGAGGTATACAAGGCTGTATGTCGTAGAGACTTTATGGGTTGTCACTGGATGTTGCGTGCCAGCAAGAAAAATTTAGGATTGTGGAAAGTGGGTAAATATATTAGCACCCACAGATGTGAAATAGACACACTCAATGAGAATCACTTCAACTTGGATGTAGACTTGATTTCTCTTGTCTTGATTCCATACTTGGAAGTGTCCATTAGGTTCAAGATTAAAGAGTGTATTACAGCCGTCCGCTAGGAGTATGGGTATACTATAACCAAAAATAGGCATATCTCGGGCGCAAACGTGCTTTTGAAATTATTTATGGTGACTGGGATAAGTCATTTTCATCTTTACCCAGGTACATGGCCGCACTACAACACTTTAACCCCGGGACTGTTGTTGAATGGAGGCGTGAGCGGAGTCCAAACAGACCCGAATATATTTTCAACTATGTGTTCTGGTCATTTAAACCAGCAATTGATGGTTTTGTGAATTGCCGTCCGGTAATTTTCATAGACGGTACTCATGTCTATGGAAAGTATGATATTAAGCTTTTGATCACAGTTGCAGTAGATGCCAACGGACAAATATTTCCACTAGCTTTTGCCATTTTTGCCAATGAAAGCGAAGAGACGTGGACGCTTTTTTTGAACCACTTGAAGCGGCTCGTTGTCAAACAGCGTTCAGGTATTTGTCTAATATCTGATCGACATGGTGGTATTTTATGTTCCGTACGGTATTTGCCTGAATGGCAGGAACCCTATGCATACCACCGTTACTGTGTGAGGCACATGAAGGCCAATTTTCAAAAGAAATATCACGACAAGGCCTTCCATGATTTAATATGGATGGCTGCAACTGAGCACCAGCAGTGCAAATTCACGAGGCGCATGGAAGCGATCCGGCAGATTTGTCCTCGAGCATATACTTGGCTGATGGGACATGAGCTTCACATGTAGACATTGCATGGTGATGGTGGCAGACGATGGGGAGCCCTGACTACAAATGTGTCGGAGTCATTCAACGGCTTATTGAAGTCTGCACGTGGATTGCCTGTCACTGTCATGGTCCAGATGACATTCAAACACATTGCGGAGAGGTTTGTTGAAAGACATAGAGCTGCATCGGAATTGATGGACAAGGGTGTTCAATTTATGCCAATATCGATGAGAAGATTTGAGAAGTACAGGAGGCGAGCACATTGGCATTTTTTTTTACAGTACGATCACGATCGGGGTGTTTTTGAAGTTCGCATCGCTATCCGCGGACACCGGGGGAATAATCAACAGACGGTGAATGAAGCTAGCAAGTTGTGTTCATGTGGGAAATGGACCATCTATCACATGTCGTGTACACATGCCTTGAAGTGCTTTCAACAAGTTGGTTTAGGGGCAACCAACTATATTGATAGGCAATATAGTGTTGCTGCCTACATAGACACATATAGTGGGCAGTTGCAGCCATTGGGTGCTGAGCATTATTGGCCGCCGGAACCATTTAAAATGGTGTGTAATAAGACTATTTGCGCAAGCTGCAAGTGCAAAAGAGAACGCATATACGGAACCAAATGGATGTTGGTGATATCGTTTATGCGCGTAAATATGGCATATGCTCGCAAACATGTCACGACCGTCGTAAATGTCCTTCAACTGGTGTGGGTGGCGGTGGTAATCCAGCTCCTGGTGCAAGTTCGTCGAATGTACCCAACTATCAAGGATACACCTAGTGTTTTGTTTTCGTAATATTTTTTGTAATAAGTGTCTGTACTTGTGTATGTTGCAATATCTATCAAATAAAATTATGTTCCACAATCTTGTTACATCTTATTTTTTAACATGACCTTTGAATTGGGATGATGATATGGTAGTCCAACATTTAACTTATTGGTGTTAGTAAAGAAGACCAATCTGAAGATTGAAATTTCATAACATAATATTCGATGAGATAAAAGCACAACAACCATTACTAAAGCAACAAACATGAAAATAAAAGGTAACAAAGGAAAAATCAAGACATTATTTTTTTCGTTTCAGAAAAATTGAATATGCAAAGCGCGGTATTATACTGCATTCTGTGTGTTGTCCTGTCGGTCTGAAAAGCTGAAACGACTGCGCAAAAGCTGTTTCATTTCAGAAAAATTGAATATGTAAAGCGCGGAATTATACTGCATTCTGTGTGTTGTCCTATCGGTCTGAAAAGCTGAACCGACTGCGAAATGCTATTTCGTTTCAGAAAAATTAAATATGTAAATCGCGGTAAAATACTACGTTTTGTGTGTTGTCTTGTCGGTCTGAAAAAGCTGAACCGACTTCGCAAAAGCTGTTTCATTTCAGAAAAATTAAATATGTAAAGCGCGGTACAATACTACGTTTTGTGTGTTGTCTTGTCGGTATGAAAAGCTGAAC